TTGCCTATGTTTTCTACTAAAACTGAGTTTCTTGACTTTGTCACTACTAGCATTTTTGGGCTGAATAATTGTTTATTGTGGGGGGCTGTCCTGTGTATCACAGGATGTTTAGTGTCCCTGGCCTGTACCCATCTTGATATCAGTAATACTTCTCCAGGCCGTAAACATCAAAAATATCTTCATCTTAGGTGTAATAAATAGCATTTGACAATATTAATCATTGCATAACTTCTTAAAATCACTTCTTTTCTTGGGTTTTTCTGATTTTTCTTTCTACTTCCCTGGCTATTTTCTTTTAGTATACTTTGCTGTTTTATCTTCCTCTCATAAATCCCAGAATTATAGTTCGAAAGATGCTGAGGAGTATGATTCAAATGTGGTTTGCAAGAAGAAAATTTTGTTTGTATGATGTTTAAAAAAAAATTGAAATAGAATATAGTGAACATATAATGCATAGCTGGTCACAGGTGTGATTGCTCTATACCAGAACAGAATTATTTATCTTTTTGAGTTTTTAACTTGTGCTTAAAATATTGGAATATTTTTGTTCTCATCCACATTGAGGCTTTAAATATATTTGGGCTATGTGCAGTGACACGTGGTTGTAGTCCTTACTACTTGGGGGACTGAAGCAGGAAGATTGCTGGAGTCCAGGAGTTTGTAGAAGCCAGCCCAGGCAACATAATATAGAGGGAAAAAAAAAAGATAAATATACATATACAACCCAAATTTCTATGTTCAACCTTTCCTTCTCTCTCAAACTTTGTCCAAAAACTTGTCACCCTTATATCTATCAAATATATTTAGAGATTTGAGGGCCTTTTGACATTATAAAGGTATAACACCAAAATTCTTTATATGATAGAAACATTATAACAAAATACATAATGTAGAAAGGAAAGGAATGTTGAACAGAGGTTACTTAAAATTTATGAAGAGAAGTTAGTATGAGCATGTTTGCATGGTGAGAGGAATGGTTCAGTAATGAGAGAAAAATGGAGGAAGGAAAGTAGGAAAGAAATTTTTCAAAGTATGGAAAGGAAATCATTGAAAAAATGATGATGGGGCTGGGGTTGTGACTTAGCGGTAGAGTGCTTGCCTTGCACATGTGAGGCACTGGGTTTAATCCTCAGCGCCACATAAAATATAAATAAATAAAAATAAAGTTAATAAAAAGTACGTCTTTTGTTAACAATGTGATGAAATGGGAAGGACTTTGATAGTCTTTTTTTATTTTTTTTTTAACATCATAAGATAGAAATCTTAGTAGGCAATGGGGTTGTAGGTATGGTGGTAAGAAGACCTGGGAGTTCCTGTTCTTTGAATAATGGAGTAGGAGATGAAGTCACGAGTTCAAACCAAGGAAGGAGAGTTCTGTAGTAGTCACTTGAAAGAGTTAACTCACCAAGAAAATGTATTAGGAGTTCCAGGTGATACCGAGTACCCTTGAGGTTTAATGTCATCAATTTAAAGAAAAAACAGTCTGTCTAATGGGGGGGTTTCTCTAGCAATGTGCTGCCATTTGGATTGAGGCAATGAGAAGCTTCAGCCATTGCTAGCTTTTATCTGGCAAATAAGGCAATGGAGAAGGCAAGAAGATAAAGAGCGTCTGTAAGGTGGTGATTCTAAAAATGTCGATCAATTCTCAGTGGTAAAGAAGGAAATACAGATAAGAAAGACATGATGACAAATGTAAATGTGATAGGATAGTTATCTGTGTGAGATTAAAGAATCATAAATTAATAAAGAATTAGAAGTTCTCATTTATAAGTGGAAGGAGTAAAGAATAGTATAGTGCTTACCAGTGCCTATGAATGGTGTAGTGGAGAGGGAGATGGAGAGAGGATCATTATTTGGTATAAGGGTGCAATTAAATAGCAGGAGGAATAATTTCTAATGTTTTATATCACAGTAGGATAACTATGGTTGACAACAGTTAAGCGAATATTTCAAAATAACTAGAGGAGACAGGTTTGAATGTTCCCAACAAACAGAAACAGATACATGTCGGAGGTGATAGATATGTCCATTCATATCATCCAATCATTACACATTATATACACATGCTGGGTCATATTGTATTCCATAAAATGTAATATTATTATGTGTCAAATATATAAGAGAAATAACAAAAAGCATAAATATGGTAGAATACTTGTCTTGATGAGGTTAAAGAATTACTGATGTTGAAGAGTTAGAGTAAGTCAGTTGTTGTGTCTCATATATCTATAATCCCAGAGACTCAGGGGGCTGAAACAGGAGGACTGGAAGGTCAAGGCCAGTCTTAGCAACTTAGGTTATAAGTAACTTAGTGAGTCAGTCTCAAAATAAAAAATGAAAAGGAATGGGAATGGGGCTCAGTAGTTAAGTGCCCCTGGGTTCAATACCTGGTTCCAAAAATAAAAAAATAAACTAAATAAATAAAAATAAAATAAGTGATTTGTGGAGGTCAGAGGTTGGGGTAGGAGGACTAATGGATATGAGAAGAGTGAACTAAGAGACCCAGTCATTGTCAAAGAGATTGAGAGATGATTTGGGCCTAGAGATTTTGTTATAGTGAGAGTCAAAATAACTGGAATCCCCTTGCTTTAAAACCTTCCATTGGCCCACTATCCCCTATTGAATGGAGTATTCTCAAAGTAGAGGAAGAAAAACCCTACAATTAATTATTCTCAGATTTAATTTTCAAGTATTAGAAAGGTAAAAAGTGTATTTTTAGCATCAATTTCATGTTGTATATTTGACTAATTTATCATAGAAGTGGTTGAGATAATTTGGGATGTCAAGGGTCTACTATTCTGTAGTTCCACAGCCATGGATGAGTATTATTAATATTTTAAAATATTTCTTTCCAATCTTTTTTCTTTGTATATATTTATATAACTTATACTATGTGTGGGTAGTTGAGTTTCTTTTAAAATCTTTACTAAATAAGCATTTTACTAATGCATTTAAATACTGAAAATATCTCCTCCAAGATTTTTTAGAGTCTTGTTGGAAAATGTGAAAATCTTTCTAAATTATAATATATCTTGTTCTTATGGATTTTATGTTATCTAGAAGTAAAAATATGTCAATATTCTCTTAAAAGCATTTGAGTGGGTTAAGGAAGAAGACAGAGTCCACTAATGGACTATTTTCAAAATAATAAAAACCAATGCCATCCGTGTTTTTAAAGTAAAATTGAATCCAAAGATTTTAGATAAATAATGAAAAACTGCAAGTAGAGGAAGCATGGTAAAGGGAAAAACAAATAAATTAGAAAGTATAATAAAATTAAATTCAAGAAATATGGTAAAATAAATGTATTCCTAGCAATTACAATTAAGAAAAAGAAAAATGAGTAGATTTATATTTTAAAAAGCTGGACTAGTATAGTTAAAGAAGGAATTGAGAAATAGTATTAGCTAAGGCTCTTTGACCTAATAAATTTACTAGTGAAAATATTTACAATTTTAAGGAATATTAAATTTTCTTGTATTAAAAACTATAGAAAAGTTAGAAAGTAAAGCAAAACATTCTAAAATGCTAATTAATCTTATTTATGACTATCTATGAAAATAATAATGTTAGTAAATATAATTTATAAATCAATACAAAGATGTTTTAATATAAAGCAATTTATTGCCATATTTAAGTTGAAATAAAGAAAAGAAAGCTGCTACAGTGTAGTTTGATAAAAGTTACTACTTATTTCTAAATTATTTAAAAATGACAATGAAAGAATACTTTTCATAGCAGGATTGGAAAAATGTACTTATTAACTAATATCAAACATGAGAGGAAAACACCTTTAAAATTGGTTACTTTCAGTATTTAATTCAATGATACTAATTAATGTGGTGCCAGTTCATGAATTGCTTGTTACTGTTCTGTCAAGAGGTAAGTATAGGATTTGGGGTTGTGTATCCCAGTGGTAGCACATCCTAGCACATGTGAAGTCCTCGGTTTGATCCTCAGCACCGCATAAAAATAATTAAATAAAATATAGATATTGTGTCCATCTACAACTGAAAATAAAAAGAGGTAAGTACAGCTGGGCACAGAGGTGCATGCATGTAATCCCAGCAGTTTGGGAGAATCCTGAGTTCAAAGCTAACCTGAGCAACTTAGCAAGGCACTAAGCAACTCAGAGAGACTCTGGCTCTAAATAAGATTAAAAAAGGGCTAGGATATGGCTCAGTGGTTAAGCTCCTCTGGGTTCAATTCCTAGTTGTGTCCCAACACCACTCCCCCAACTCCACCCGACCTGGTCAAAAAGAATAAGTATAGAAATTGAGAGGAAGTGTTTGTTGGAAACTTTTATAGCAGTTTGACAGCAATTTTATGGGTTTGTTTTTGTTTTTAAGAACTAGAAATCAAATATTTAAGCCTGAATTTTATATTTAGGGTTTATATAGTTTTAAATTACATTTTCTAGTTACTTTTACTAATTAAAAATAGTTCATTATTGCTTATTAATTTTAATAAATTATTAATGTGATGAATTGAAAGTAGGAATACTAGTCTTTTACCATAGTTTAAAGATCATAATTCTGAATCAAGCTGCTAATGCAAGAATAAGTATTTAAAAAGATACAAATGCATCACTATTCATGGATGATACCATAATACTAGAAACTAGTAAAGTGATCACATGTAGAGAGTACTGTACCTTTATGTTTGGAAAAATTTTTCAGTTTTGTTGTAATTAAATTCTAAAATTTTCTTATTTAGAGCCAAATCCATTGATTTAATGAACTATCTTAAAACACAGCAGAAACAGAACTAACTTAAAACATAGCAGAAACACCAACGATTCTTTAGGACTTTAAGAAATGATTAGTATTAGAAAGTGTAGTTAATAACGTAAGAAACACAGAAAGAACAGCTTTACTTTTTCCACTTATTTAGGAGAATGTCATAAAATACTCATGGATGGACATTTTAATCTAAATGTTAATATGTATATTAACTCACTTAATGATGTGGCATGTTTTTCTTTAAAATCACTGTTATAGAGAACAGAATCTTGGAATTATTTTCCTCAAGAAATGGACTCTTCTCAAAGCTTGGATATATCACAGACCAGAATTAACATTGGAGCGGAAGGGTCTGAAGTGATAGAGTTCCCGTCTTTGGAGGAAGGTATATTGACCCAGTCAGAAGAACATGTAAAGGAACGAAACAGAAATCTCTTATGTTCTCCATTGCTAGGTAATGCCTTTGTATTTTTTAACTAATAGTAATACCTCCTATTTGTAAAGTAGTTTTTGGGGGACTGTTAGTCCTGTACATAAGTAAATCCTTTTTGAGTTGAGGAGCTTTATAGAGTTCTACTCAAAGGGATTCGTTTGTTTTTTGTTTTCTACACTGGCCAGCTGGTCTAGTTATGGCAAATGTGCATTTACCCTTCATTTTATCATGCCCCAGTGCTCATAGAAAGCAGAAAGGTGCACTTCCTCTTTAGTGGGTATGCCTCTTCAGTTCCTGAATTGGTAGAGTTGTTCTTGGGTAATGGAGATATTATTCTTTGACTGGTTCTCTCAGCAGTGGAGACTACATGTTTCCAAAACCAACCAACAATTGTCTGTATTTATCTTGTTCAATTCTGAGAATTTTTTAAAACTTAGGTTATTATCTTCAGCTTTGAGACCAAAAACTGAGATAAAGAGGTTAAATGGCTTAACTCAGGTAGATCTTACTACTTTCCTTTGTTTAGGTTTAGAACAGTTTTATTAGTTTTAAAAAGATAAATTTTTATGCACCTTTCACATCATCAAGGGATTAACTGAAATGATTTTATAGAATTTTGTAGAGAAGTGTGATAGGATTTGATTCAGCAAGTTCTTTTCAAACATAAGCTTATATTATCTAAATCAAGATGTTAGTGCTAAAGTATTCTATGATGTAGATCATTAAAGTCATTTAAGTCCACATTTTAACATGTTGACAAAATTAGAGTACTGTTGTTGGAGAGGTGAAAATCATAGTAGATGAAAGGGGTGGGGTAAGGGGAAAGGATCGTCAAATATTTGAAAGGCTGCCATGCTAAAGAGGAAGCAATTCATTTTTTTCCCACATTTTTAAAATTGGTGCATTATGGGTTATATATGGTAATTGGATTTGTTGATATATATTCATACATGCACACAATATAACAGTATAATTTAGCCAGTATAACTCCCCAGCACTTCCCCTCTCCCTCCCTGGCAATTCATTTATTATTTTTTATTCATTTATTTATGTAACAAGTATCTTAAGTGTCTACTTGTTTGATTCTATGGATAGATCGATGAAATCCACTTTTTTTGAGAAGATAACCTAATAACAAAACAGTAGTACCCTAGGATGAGTGTTATAATGGTCTGTAGGGCAAGAATCTAAATGAAAACCCCCAGGTCAAGGCTTGATTTTGTAGTATTTGTGAGCTAAGAATGGTTTTTACATTCTTATTTTTATTTTCTTTCTTTCTTTTTTTGTTTCAGTGCTTGCTATTGAACCTAAGGGCCTCACAGCTATATCTCTAGCCATTTTTATTTATTTTTTAAAATATTTTTTTTAGTTGTACACAGGCACAATATCTTTATTTTATTTATTTGTTTTTATGTGGTGCTGAGGATCAAACCTAGAACCTCACATGTGCTATCAACTGAGCTACAAACCCATTTTTATTTTTAAAGGATTGTAAAAACAAAATATAAGTGATAGTCCACTGTGACCAACAAAACCTAAAATATTTACTCTGTCTTTGCAAAAAATGTTTGCAGACATGTTTATAGGAGTTAAAATGAGAATACAGCACTTATAGGGGGCTTTTTTCAATTTGATATAAGAAAGGATTTTCTAAAAGAGGCTTAATAACAACAACAAAAAGTGAGTTTTGTGTCACAGCAAAGTATCAAGCAAAATTCCGTAATAAATTTTAGTATGGGTAAGAGACTATACTGTGACTTCTATAATGTTTTAAAATGTAAAAGTAGTATAATTCCAGTTTCTCACTTACTGGAGATAAAATAGAACATTTAAAATTATTGAGTAGATCCCTGGATCTGATGGCTAGAGTATATTCCATTTTACTATTTTGTTATGCATTAATTCTGTCATTGGGTATTTAGTTTCTCACCTGTGGCGAATATCACTGATGATGACAGAATGGTTAAATAAAAGAGAAATCAAGGCTGTCAACAGTTGTCTAAATGTGAGGAAATAAGCAGTTGAAAGGTGTAAGAAAAAGGCTTGGCCATACCACTTAAGCACATATGTATGCCATGCATGTGAGATTTATCACTTGTTAACTCTGGCCTGTTCCTTTAGAAAATACATTTTCCTATTTACCTGGGTTAACTCTCCAACTCCATCTTGGAATAGTGTTAAATATTTAACAATATGCTGAAATGCTGCTTATAATTTATTTATTACTTGCTCTTTCTTAGTTATACTTAGGTAGTTATTTAAGATAATAAGGATTTCTAAAGGCTGAATGTTGTGTCTGTATGCAGATGCTAACATACAATAAGGGGAATGGGGAGGGAAGAATAGAAGGTCATTGGATTAGATAGAGGGGAATGAAGGGAAAGGGGTGATGGGAATAAGAAAGACAATAGAATGAACTGGACATAACTTTTCTATATTCATATATGGAATACATGACCAGTGTAACTCCACATCAAGTATAACCACAAGAATGCGAAATTATACTTCATTTATGTATGTCAAAATACACTCTACTGTTATCTATATGTAAAAAGAACAAATTTAAAAAAATTGAAGGGAAAAAATTTTGATGGATATGAATAAGCTATATTTATGTAGCTAGAAGCCTTGCGTGCTCCAGTGGTACTTGTAGTTCTTAAAAATGCATCTCATAGGGCCTGGGTTGTGGCTCAGTAGTAGAAAGTTTGCCTAGCATGTGTGAGGCACTGGGTTCGATCCCCGGCACCACATAAAAATAAATAAAATAAAGGTATTATATCCCATCTACAACTAAAAAAATTAAAAAAAATACATCTCATAAAATATATATTATATGAAAAGTAAAAATAAAAGATAATATGGATTTCTGTAGGTTTGGAACCTGATTAAGGAGAACTCTTAATATATTTTTAAAAAATATTTATTTTTTAGCTGTAGTTGGACACAATATCTTTATTTTATTTATTCATTTTTATGTGGTGCTGAGGATTGAACCCAGGGCCTCGCATGTGCTAAGCAAGCGCTCTACCGCTGAGCCACAGTCCCAGCCCCAGGAACTCTTAATATTTTTTAGAAAAGATTCTTAGATTCTTTAAATGCTCAGCATTTAATTGGACAATACATTTTTATACTTGCCCAAGGTTCCCCCCTGTAGCATTAACCCTAGTATATTTGGTGACTATGTTAAAAAATCTTCATCATTCTTCAAGGGGTAAAGGACATCTATTTTGAAAGTTTAAGACTGTTTTTCTAAGTCAAAGGCCAAAGGAAAAAAAATCAGTTGTTCCTGATGGTAACATCAGTATTTATCAATTTCTCATTTTTAATTAGTTAATTCAGTAAATAAATACTTCTGTTTTGAATATCTACTAAGTGTACAGATACTTAGCTTAACCGTTGAGGATATATCTGTGAACAAAGCGGAGGTAGAGCTGACAATTTTCATGCCTTTGTGGCAAGATGGCCTCCAATCTTAAGAGGGAATTAGGCTGGGTTTATCAAAAGGAGCCAGGAACAAAATATATAATCCCCAAGGGCAGGCCCCTAGTGACCTGACTATAGTTACTACCCAGTAATCTATTTAAATTATTAATCCATCGATGAGATTACAGATCTCATAATCTAACATTTCACCTCTGAGCTTTTCTGCATTGTCTGTCACAGTGAGCTTAGTGGGGGACATCTCATATCCAAATCATAACACTTGGTTTGCAGTAATTTCAAGGTAAACAGTGGTGAGAGGGTGGAGACTGCCTTTTATACATAGTATTGCAGGAATTCTGGTTTTGTTGTTGTTGTTTGTTTGGTAGCAGGGATTGAACCCAGAGGTGCTTAACCACTGAATCACATTCCTAGCCCTTTTTTTTATGTTTTATTTTGAGATGGGGTCTCACCTAAGAACTGGTGATCTTCCTGCCTCAGCTTCCTGAGCCACTGGAATTACAGGTGTGAGCCACTGCACCTAGCAATATTGCAGGCATTCTGAAATTAAGAAATTATACTGTGGCAATCAATATTGCATCATATTGAGAAAGCAATTTAGCTTAGCAAAATACCACTCATCAAGATAATTTTAAATAGAATTTTGTTTTGGTAATAAAGTTTTTTTTTGTTTCCATTGATATTTAATTTGCAGGGGGGCAGAGGATTGAACTCTGGGGCACTTGACCACTGAGCCACATCCCCAACCCTATTTTGTATTTTATTTAGAGAGAGGGTCTCTCTAAGTTGCTTAATGCCTTGCTTTTGCTGAGCCTGGTTTTGAACTCGTGATCTTCCTGCCTCAGCCTCCTGAGCCATAGTTGTGCATGACCACGCATGGCTAATTTTTTGTTTTGTATTGTACAACTGTTATAAAGAGTAAGAACTTAGTACCTAGTTTATGCGTATTGTAAAATTAACTTTATTTATTTTGTAGCACTGGGATTTGACCCAGGGCCTTGTGCATGAATGCTAGTCAAGTTTTCTACCACTGAGGTGCACTCCCAGTTCCTCGTTCATAGGTGTTTAAGGGCATTGTCATGAATATGATTGAAGTTGACAGGAAATCACAAGAATTTTTTCCTTTAAAGCAATAGTTTTCGAACTTTTTAGGTAATTGGCATCCTTGACACATTTTAAAATTATTGGTAGCTCCAACAAGCTTTTGTTTATGTGGGTTATTGATAATTTCCACGTTAGGGGACTTAAAATAGAAATTTATGTTTTAATTTAGTTTTTTAGTTATAGATGAACACAATACTTTTATTTTTTTATTTTTATGTGGTACTCAGGATCGTATCCAGAGCCTCACATGTTAGGCAAGTGCTCTACCATTGAGCCATAACTCCAATCCTCTTAAAACAGAAATTGAGAAAATATTTAATGATTCATTTAAAAATAGCAAGTAAATATTTAAAATAGTAAAGCTGAAAATTCCTCATTGTATATTAACACAAAGTGCAGTTTTGTAGAAAATTATTATTTTCCAAAGCAAAAATATTTATGAGTAGCCTTATTTTACTTAAGACAGCAAGATACTCATAACTACTTCTGCATTCAATCTGTTGCTGCATCATACATGTCATAGAAAATGCCACTGTTCCCTTTTAAGAGAATGAGAGTGAGTAAGGCAAATTATATTTTAATATTACTTAAAATATAATTTTGAAATCTAGGTATCTTTTAAAAGTGTCTTAGGACCTAGGAGTTCCTTGGCCACACTTTGATGTAATGGATATGTCTTTATATTACTTAAAATTGAAAGAGACACTCAAAATAGTTATGAAACAAATAGTGTTGTACTGGCTAAAAGTTAGTATGCTTAGGTTCAAATATCATTGGCACTTAAGCTGTTTGAATGTGAATAGATTTCTTAATACTTTTTTTTTTTTCCCCGAGGGTGGGTAACCAGGGGTTGAACTCGGGGTGCTTGACCACTGAGCCATATCCCTAGCCCTATTTTGTATTTTATTTAGAGACAGAGCCTCACTGAGTTGCTTAGTGCTCGCTTTTGCTGAGGCTGTCTTTGAACTCACTATCCTCCTGCCTCAGCCTGCCATACCGCTGGGATTTCTTGCATGCCCCACTGTGCCCAGCCAGATTCCATAATACTTTTTAAGTTTGGAAATTATGTTTCTTCATGTATTATGTAGATATAATTGTACCTGTCCTGAGGATTAAATGAAATATCGTATGTTAAGTGTCTGGATCTTGCTAGGCCCAATAAATGGTAGCTGCTATTATCATTTTTTTATTCTAATGATTGTAGAAATGTCCAGTTAGCAGTATATTTAAGTACTTTATAAAGTATTACATGTGTAAGCTAAACAATCCATTTTTATATTGCTCAGCATTTTTATATTTGAAATTTTACAGTCATACAGGATAACTTTGCTTCTCCTGATTTGCCTTTGCTGACGTGTTTGACCCAAGACCAGGAACTTGGGTCTGATTCCTTATTTCACCAAAGTCAACTAGATTTTGCACCTCTGAGGTAGGATGATTTATTTATTTTCCTCTACCCTTTCTACTCATATCATGAGTTTTTTCTAATATTTATGACTTCAGGCCAAGGCAGGACTTTGAATTAGAGGTAAGATATTAGTACACACTCTGAAGGTGGTAGTAAGGTGGTAAATGTGTATATTAATTTGGCATGGTAATGTATGTGTAGAGATGTGCCAGGTGACTAGTTTATTTTAAAATAATTTCCAATATATTCTAGTATTTAAGGCATATTTTAATTATAAGGCACACTGTAATTTCCTTTTTATCAACTTTCTCATACATGTGCTACCATCATTTCTTCCCTTCTTCTTACTTTCATTCTTCAAAAAAGTATTCATTTCTAGATTACTTGTTCTACACTCTCATTTTGATCAATTGGTATTGAATCTGCCTACTTAATCTCTTTTTTTAATGATTTATATTTCTATTTTTTTAAAAAAAATATTTATTTTTCAGCTGTAGTTGGACACAATTCCTTTATTTTACTTATCATTTATTTTTATATGGTGTTGAGGATTAAACCCAAGGGCCTCACATGTGCTAGGTGAGCACTTACCGTTGAACAACAATTCCAACCCCAACCCTTTACCTTGTCTGTGAATATGAAGTTTTATAACATATTCCAAAGTCCTTTAGAGTAATCATAATGGGAAAAAAGTCTGGAATTCCTTAAAACAAAATTAAACTTATTCAAGAATATAATTCTTCTGCTTTTAGAACTGAAAGAAAAATCCTCATTAAATTAAAAACTATAGATATTGGGTTGGGGTTATAACTCAGTGGTAAAACACTTGCCTAGCATGTGCGAGGCCCTGGGTTTGATCCCCAGCATTGCAAAACAAACAACACTGTAGATGCGTAGAATGTAAAAAGTAAGCTCTGCCCTTGTGCTGTATATTTAGTTTTAATAACTTTATTGAAAAGTGTTCTCTACACGTTTGATTGTCAACCTATGATTAAGTTACTATGGTATTTTTTTTGGGAATGTATCTCTTGAAATGGTTTTCACAAGAATAAAAAAGACTGGTAAATGAATTAATACATGGTAGGTGATAAACTAAATATTTAAAATAGTAAAGCTAAAAAGACTATTTTGAATTTTTCATTAAAAAACTTTTTGATAATATGAAAATCAGATTCTGTTTTGTTTTAGGAGAAGTCTGAGATAATATCAGGATCATAGTTTCAATAGTTCGCCTTGTGTTTACAAAGATTTTGCTTTATTCTGTTGTTAGCCACTTTAATGGAACTCAAAATTTGTTTTTTTACATACTTTCAAATAAAATTGATATCAGTGAAATATCAGTTTTGTATTTTTATTTTAGTGCTTAAAAATTAAATGTTATTAAGGTATTACTTATTTATATATGATTATATATTTTCAGAGGAATCCCTGATAAGACTGAAGACATTGAATGGTTTTCTCGGCCATCGGAAGTTAGTGAAGCTTTGTACCAGGCTACCTCAGAAGTATCTTCAGACTTAGTTAACAGTTGCTTTAGTGTATCTCAGCACGTACTTACAGGTAGCACAGCCATTGGGTCTCAGCGCTCTTTTTTATCTCCTGAACAAGAGAATAATAAAGAGAATACTTCATCCAACACTGTTGATGAACTGAAAATCCCCAAAGATTCTGATAATTATGATGCTCTTTGTTCATATATGTCATGGAAGACACAAAAAGACATACAGCAGCCAGGAAACAATTTTGCTGATAAAGATCAAGTTTCAGTTTCAACTTTATCTGATATTAGTGATGAAAATATAGCTCCTAAAAGAAGTGACAGTTTTAATGCTTCTGGTTTACATGTGCATTGGGAACAGGAGCCTTTACAGCAGACAGAACCAAGTCTAACCAATAAGGACCATGTTTCTTTTCCACATGAAGTTGCTTATGATAATAAAATGTCATATTCTTTCTTGCGAGTTTTGTTGGAAAGAAGAGGAAAAGCAGTTCCCTTGACATCTGATAGTCATAATTTTGAGAGTGTGTTTTTAAGTTCTTCTGCTGAGAATGAGGTGAAACAAAATGTGAATTCTTTGGAGGGATATGAAAGAACTGAAGGAGGTCTGCAGAAAGAATTATCTCAATGTTTTAAACAAAAGGAGTCTACAAATAATTTGCTATCTTCAGAGGTGCATCCCAGATCTTTAGATGTAAAGTATGTTGGGAATGTTGTAGTTCCTGATAATTCTGTAAAAGTTTCAGAAGCACATATACTCTCTGGAGGACATGATATCTCTAAGATGGAGGCTTCTGGTGGTCCCCTTCAGACAGCTGCATCCAACTTGGATGAGACGTCAGTACAACTGAATTTTCAAGAGGAAAGAAACCAAAAGGAAACATCTGCTTTTGGTGAGAAAAATGTCATTGCTACTGAAAGTGTAGCCTTTGAGGCAGTTATTGCCTCTATTGAGCCTTCCGAGAAAGTGAGTACAGTAAGTGAAATCCAAAATGGCATCAGTAAGTCTTTAACAGATGACAGCCACAAGAGAGAATCAAAAAGTCCAGATCTTTCCTCATTAAATTATATTGATGAAAACTCTTTGTTTGATACACTTAAGTTTCCAAATTATCAGTCTATTTCTGGGGAGTTTGAACCAGAAGTTTCACAACCATTATTGCATAAAAATGATGATGATAATAGTTCCCTATGTTGGTATCCAAATTTAAAATCACCCCTTAATTCTCCTCAGAAAATGTTAATTAAGCTACTTTCTGTTATTCCAGAGCTTAAGTCATCTGCTTTTTTAAGTGGAAAACCTTACGACCAGGCTGTTGGTCTTGGCAAAACACAATCAGCTGTATTTCAGCATGATATATGCAATGAACCATTTCTTCCCACTGGGAAGATAAAGTCTGTTTCTGCTCTTGACCTTGCAGAGAAGGTAGGATCTTCAAACATTATTTATTCAATGAAAGTATCAACTTCAGATTCTTTGGTTTTACAAGATTTAAAGCAGCAAACCTTTGAAGAAGTTGCTGATTCCTCAGACTATAATTTGGGTAAGAATGTAAACTCTAGTAATGTCATTGAAGGTCCTCTTGCAGCTGTAGGAAGCAGCTTTTCAGCAACCTCGGTGGCGTGTGATGCAAAGTCATTAGGTGCTTTACCACTGACTGATGATGCGTCATTAATTGTAGTCAGCCAAGAGACATTGCTGAAAGCTGATATAGACCAAGGGGAAATACCTTGGCCTGTGGGAACTAACTCCATTTTTACCATACATAGAGTTATGTAAAATGACTCCTGTTTTGTAGAGGAACTGCAGGAGAAGGCTGACTCTGATGACATTACTATGGATAATGATACTGAATGCTATAGCCTAGATGAAAATGATGTTGTATGCAGTGAAAGTGTTGCTGACCTACAAAGAGAGGTGAGACACAATAAAATGATACTTGTTGGGGGGCTGGGGTTGTGGCTCAGCGGTAGAATTTTTGCTAGCACATGTGAGGCCCTGGGTTTGATCCTCAGCACCACGTAAAAATAAAATAAAGGTATTGTGTCCAACTACAACTAAAACAAAATTAAAAAAAAAATGATAGTTGTGGGAAACATGGTCTTTTCAGGTATTATTTCAGGAAATTGTATTTGTCTTTATTTTGCTTTTTACTATTTCTAGACATGTGATCAACATGATTTGACTGGTGAGTATGGTGAGCTGGAAGTTTTAGAGAATTTGCTTGATGATCTTTGTGATAGCTCTCTGCCCTGGCAACATACTTCACGACTACTATCTGAGGAGGAAAGCAATTTTGAAAAGCCTGTAAGTGTTTCTCTTTGACATTTCTTATTGTTGGGTAAAGGAATATTTTAGTGAAAAGATGATAATGAAAGTAAAGGACCTATTATTAAACATCCCGTAACACTAATGGGCGACTTGTAACCTGGTCTTCATCTGATATCCATCAATATGCTCCATTAAGTTAGAGGCTGGCATAAAAGAAATGTCTATGTTTTATAAACCATAAGACCTAGTAATTTCTGTGGTGTCTTGGAAAGAGCATCTTTTGGAGCTCATAGGCCTTTTATCTTGAGGCATCCTAATTCATGTCATGCAGCAGCAAGTCTTTGGGACAGTGTTAAGATTAGATGCATTTACAGGGACATTCAAATGATTGTGCTTCCTTCTGCTGGTTTTCAATGTATTGGCTTTGATCTTAGCCAAAAGGCTAAGAAGTTGGAGCTGGGGTTGTGGCTCAGTGGTAGAGTGGTTGCATGTGTAAGGCACTGGGTTCGCTTCTCAGCACCACATATAAATAAATGAGCAAAAAAAGGCCCATCAACATCTAAAAAAATATATTAAAAAAGGCCAAGAAACAATCAGTGTACAAGCCTTGAAATAGGTATTAGAATATTCAAGTATTTTTATTTTGAAAAAGAAATCATATCATACCAGATATGATAGTACTCTTTCTGTATGGCTCATCATGCATTCAGGGGATTTGCCTGCTCCTTGGATTTTTCCTTGCTCTCCTTATCTGTCTCTTAAGACTAGTCATTCATACTCCTTTACTTACTTTGATATCTACTAATTGTTCTTCTAAGTGATTGAGTAGCTACTTATTTGTGATATAGCTTAGAGCTGTGAAAAGGACATAAAGATTGGGGTCAAATTGCAGTCAATTTATTTTTTAAGGATAAGGATATAGAAGTGTAGCTCAATGATAGAGAACTTGCGTAGCATGCTCAAGCCCTGGGTTTGATCCCCAGTAGTGCAAAAATAAATAAATAAATACAGTTAAAATAAAAAAAAAAAAAACAGGGGCTGGGGATGTGGCTCAAGTGGTAGCCTGCTCGCCTGGCATACGTGAGGCACTGGGTTCGATCCTCAGCACCAAATAAAAATAAAATAAAGATATTATGTCCACCTAAAACTAATAAAATAAATATTTAAACAATAAATAAATAAATAAATAAAATTTAAAAATCCAGTTCATTTACTTTCTTAAACCTTGTGCTTTGAGCAAATGACTTTGGAGGCTGACTTTCCTGATCTAATCAATCCCATATATTTCTATATTAAATAAGGTAAGGTATGGAGCACTTATGGTGCCTGTCTGTTACCAGTGGTTTCCTACTCTTCTTTCATTTTCACTGTCAGATGCTGCTTGGTGTGTGTGTGTGTGTGTGTGTGTGTGTGTGTGTAACAAGTTTCTCCTTGTTCTTGATAGCAGTATGTAATAAAATACGATTTTAATATCACTTATTTTGGTTAACTCAAAAAATTACATAAGGTTCAGTCTTAGATTTGTTTTCTTTCTTCCCCTTCCTTTTTTCTTTTCCACCTTCCCTTCCCTTCTCTTCCCTTTCCTTCCCTCCCTACCTGCTTGTACACCTAGTTTCTTCTCGAGATTTAAATGCCTGTCTCTGTATAGATGGTATTATCTCTTTTTGGTTCCTAATATTAATTGCCTTGAGTCAGGCCCTTATGGTATTTTACATGAGGTTTTCTTGTGAAGATTATCATCGTCTCAATTTCAACTTTATATAAAAATAATCAGACTGATCAGATGAAAGTTGACTTCCTAAGTTCTTATAGAAATATTAGCACTTTTTCTAGTTTCTTTGTCATCTTTGTTTCTTTCTTCATTGTGGATTTAAGTGTGGGAAGCAAAACAAATCTTGAGATTTTCTTCCTGATTCCTCCAATTTTCAATTAGTAATGAAGTTTTTATATTTTCAATACTTCCCATCTTTTTTCACTCTACATTTTATTTTGGTTTACTTTCTCTAATAGTTCTATGTTTTGAAGCTTTGCTATAATGAAATTTTTATTGAAGTCAACATCATGATAAAAGAAGTTTCTTTTTATATTTTGAAGCTGAGGTGAAAAACTACTGTTAAATACACATACAGTATCTATGTATATCATATATGTTTATATTAATGAACTATATTTCAAAAGAGTTGCTTAGGAGTGGGATAATTGAAAACAGTGCTGTATGTGGAGCGGGGTTCCTTGGCAGCATCATCATTTTGGATTAGGTAATTCTTTCTTGGGGGGGGGGGTTATTCTGTGTATTTTAGGATGTCTTGCAGCATCTCTGGCCTTTACTCACTAGATATCAGCAGTATTCTTTTCTCCCCAAGTCATAACAGTGAAAAATGTCTCCTGGCCTTGTGAAATATCCCTTTGCAAGGTGCAAGATCTTCCTCATTTGAGAACTACTAATCTAGAGAAAACTGTATAGGTAGTAGATGTAGAATATTCATTTTCACACCCTGACAACTTCCTGAGAATTGACAAAAATGATAAAAGAGGATAGAGATAGAACACTTTGTGCTTATGTGCATTTTTAGACACCTTCCTGAGAGGGTATAACTAGACTAATCTTTTTAGGGACTTAAAAACGTAAAAGTTGTATATGTTTTCATGTGAGTATACTTTGAATTTGGTGAAAAGTTATACATGTTTATGTATTAAAGTCATCAATAATGATTGTATTTTCTAGCAAGGAAGTATTTGGATCTGCTGAAACATTAGGGACTTCTTTTCAGCAATTAACTTTTACTTCATTATCAATTTATATTCCCACCTAGGTTTTTTTTTTTGATACTAGGGATTGAAGTCAGGGGCACTCAATCACTGAGCCACATTATCAACCCTATTTGTATTTTATTTAGAGACAGGGTTTCACTGAGTTGCTTTGTGCCTCGTTTTTGCTGAGGTTAGCTTTGAACTTGCTATCCTCCTGCCTCAGCTTCTGGAGCCTCTGGGATTACAGGCATGTGCCATTGTGCCCGGCTCCCAGCTACTTTTGATTCATGAAGTTTGAGGACTTTTGGGGTTTGATAAATTAGCACTCTTGTAGTTCTTTGATGCTCTGATTTTTCCTCTAAATATTTGTGAATGTCTTGAAATATTACTGTTCTGTCTGTACTTCTTACTCTTTTTTTCCCCGTAGCACACTTCTCCCCTTAAGAAAATTCTTGAGCTTGTCAAGAATAATACCATGGTTCAAATATTTTAATGGTGGTTATTATAAGGAGCAAACTTAGGTAACAGAAGACTTTTGGGCCTACTATCTGTAATATTCTATAAGGCAGATTTTAAACCCACAGGATGATTTGTAGATCTTCTCAGACTTTGACCAAACCAAACAATATATGAATATATATGAATTAAGTATATATGAATGTGTATGATTTCAGCAGAGCTGAGTATATTGATTATAAGTAAATGTTGACTACTATGAGTTCATTTTTTATAATAATGAGGTTTGTTTTTTAACAGGTGAAGACTGAAATTAATCTTTTCTTCTTTTCTCTTTTCCTAGGTAGTTCATTCTAATCTGAGCATTTGTGAGTCTTTTTCATCTGTTTTGCCTCCATTTGATCCTCATGAGCCAATCAGAGAGTCAGACTACCGTGCTTCAAATCTCAGAATGTTGAGGGTGTCTCTTGATACTGTGCCAAAGACTCCCCAACATTTAGCAGGTATGTAGAAAAAGGAGGTAGTAAATGTCTTCCTTATGGTTAGCTTGTGAAAAATACCTTGCTATAAATTTTCTAGCAACTTGATTAGGGATACCTAGATAGTTGATAAAGTATTATTTCTGGTTATGTTTGTGAAGGTGTCTGTGGAGGAGATTTGAATAAGTAAATGGAATAAGGAAGATCTGCTTTCACCAGTATGAGCCCTGCTGGTTGGCTGAGGCCTGGATAAAACAAAAAGGGAGAGGAAAGGCAAATTTGTTCTCTCTCTCTCGAGAGTTGGGACATGTTCCCTAGGACATCAGAACTCCAGGTTCTCTGGCCTTTGGATTGCAGGGCTAACACCAACAGCCCCTTAGGTTTTTAGGCTTCCCTAGGCTGACAGCAGTATAAAATCATTATCTCCAGCCTTAGCATACTTCTCAGAATTACTTGCCAATCCTTTTACTCAGTCAGCTCTATCTCATATTGACTTTAACATAAATTCTAAGTCTTCTAAGCCACCTTCCTCAACCCCACCGACCTACTTCTACCACTTGCCTCCTCTCTTAGCAGATAATCTTACTTTCTGACTCAGAATCGATCCCCCTCAGTTTCCTTTCTACAAGATTATATGCATCCACTCTTGTCCTCTTTAGCTCAAATAATTATTTTTCTTTCCAGTTATATAAAATGTTTATCAAATGGCTTTGCTTAACTTTTTAAAATTGATGCATTGTAATTATACATAACAGAAGGATTCAGTATACTGTATTCATGCATGCACATAACGTAATTTGATCAATCTCATTCCCCAATTATGGGGATCTTCTATACCCTGAAATTTATATATTGACATCCTAACTCCCAAGGTGATAGTATTAGGAGGTGAAGCCTTAGAGAGGAAATTGGATCATATGGGCTTTTTTTGTGTCAGTTATAAACAAGACCTCACAGAGATTTCTTTCCTCTTCTACCATATGAACACACAGTAAGACAGCATTGTGTATGAAGAATAGGCCCTCACCAAACCCTGATATGCCAGCACTCTCATCTTGGACTTTTTAGCCTCCAGAGCTGTGAAAAATAAGTTTACATTGTGAGGATAGGAGTGATGAAGCTCTTCATGTCTTGGACCAGAAAGGACTCCTTTACTTTTTTTGTGTTCAGATAGATAATAAGTACAACTAATAAATATCTAGAACTCCAAATATTTAGAGCTTTGGAAGGAAAATGATGTATTTACAATGCAAATTAAAGCCATCTATCTATTATAAAAGCTTTGTTGAAATATCACACCATACAATTTACTCATCTAAAGTGTACAAATCACAAAATTGTGCAAATATCACCACAATTTAAGAAGATTTTCATTCCCCCAGAAGAAACCCAATTAGCTATAACTTCTCATTTCATATCTCTTCAACACCCCTAGCCCTACATAACCACTAATCCACTTTTTCTATAAATTTGCGTATTTTGGACATTTTCATGGTAAATGCAGTAGTACAGTTAGCGGTCTTTTGTGACTGACTTGCTTCACTTATATAATGTTATCAAGGTTTATCCATGTTATAGCATGAATTGGTACTCTTTACTGAAAATAGTAGTCCATTGTATGGATGTATCACATTTGTTTATCCATTCCATAATTGATAGAATAGATATAAACACTTGACTGTTAGGAATAAGGCTGCTTTGAAAACCATGTTCAAGCTTTTGTGTATGGAGTTTTTCTTTCTTTTTGCTAGGAGTAAAATTATTTATTGGTTCCTGGAACTGTGTTTATCATTTAGAGAAACTGCTAAATTGTTTCCTAAAGTCTGTATCATATTATATTCCCTTCAGCAATATTAGGATTTAAGTTTCTCTACATCCCAACAATGCTTGTTATTCCTGTCTGTTTGATTACAATCACTCTGGTTGTTGTTAAGAGATATCTTAACTGTGGTTTTGATTTACATTTCCTTAGTGGTTAAAGATGTTGAGCATCTTTTCTTGGGTTTATTGGTGTTTTGTGGCTATTCTTTAGAGAAATGTCAGTTTAGATCCTCTGTCCATTTTTTAATTGGGTTATTTATCTTTTTATTGAGTGTTTTTTAAAATATGTTGGGTGTACAAGTCTCTTATTAGGTGTGCTGCTTAAACTTTTTTTTTTTCCTCCTAAGTCATGGGTTTTCTTCACTTTCTTGATGGTATTAATTGAACTACAGCATTTTTAGTTTTGATGAAATGTACTTTCTCTGATTTGTTTTATATTTATTTTTTAGTTGTAATCGGATACAATACCTTTATTTTATTTATTTATTTTTATGTGATGCTGAGGATTGAACCCAGGACCTTGCACATGGTAGGTGAGCACTCTACCGCTGAGCCACAACTTGAGCCTCTCTCTGATATTTTTAAATTAAAAAAATTAAAACAAAATTTAGTCAATAATTATAATAAAAGTTACTTTCTTATCTATATTTTAGAATACTTTTTTCTACTCTATTGGTTCTTTTTAGTTATACATGACAATAGAATCCATATTGGTATAATTATAAAAGCATGGAATATATCTTATTCAAAATCAGACCTGAGTACCTCTCCTTCTCCTTCCCTTTCCCCACACCTCACTCCCTTCCCTCTGTTGATCTTTCTGCCATTTACCCATAGTTTTTTGTTTTTTTTTTTTTTAAACTGGGGATTGAACTTAGGCGCACTGGACAACTGAACCACATCCAGGCCTATTTTGTATTTTTATTAAGAGACAGAGTCTCACTGAGTTGCTTAGTGCTTATGATTGCTGAGGCTTGCTTTGAACTCAGCATCCTCCTGTCTCAGTGTCCCGAGCTGCTGGGATTATAGGCATGCGACACTGCGCTTGGCCATAGTTATTTTTTTAAAGTTAATTTTTTGTGGGTGTACACAATGGTGAGATTCACTGTGGTGTGTTCATATATATACATAGGAAAGGTGTGTCAGATTCATTCCTTTTCCTATCCCCTTCATTCCCCTTTGTCTAATCTACTGAATATTGCTTCTTGACCCCATCCTTCTTTGTTTTTTTGGGATTGGCTTACTTCACTTAGCAGGATATTTTCTAATCCATTGATTTACCTGCAAATGCCATGATTTTATTCTCTTATAATGCTGACTAATATTCCATTGTGTATATATACCACAGTTTCTTTGTCCATTCATCTCTTGAAGGGCATTTAGGTTGGTTCCACAATTTAGCTATTGTGAATTTTGTGCTGTGAACATTTATGTGGCTGCATTACTATAGTATGCTGTTTTAAAGTCCTTTGGGTATAAACCGAGGAGTGGTATAGCTGGGTCTAATGGTGGTTCCTTTCCAAGTTTTCTAAGGAATCTCCATACTGCTTCCCAGAGTCCTACTAGCAATATAAGAGTGTGCCTGTTTCCCCACATCCTTGTCAACACTTATTGTTGCTTGTATTTGTAATAACTGCCATTCTGATTGGAGGGAGATGTAATCTCAGTGTAGTTTTAATTTGCAATTCTGTAATTGCTAGAGATGTTGAACATTTTTTCATGTGTTTGTTGACCATTTGTATTTCTTCTTTTGAGAAATGTCTGTTTAGTTCCTTTGCCCATTTATTGATTGGATGATTTGGGTTTTTTGGTGTTAAGCTTTTTGAGTTCTTTAGGTATACTGAAAAGCAGTGATTTATCTGAGGTGCAGGTGGCAAAGATATTCTCCCATTCTGTAGGCTTTTTAGTTTGATTCCATCCAACTTATTGATTTTTTGATTGCACTTTCAGAATCTTATTAAGGAAGTTAGTTCCTCATCCAGTATGCGCAGGTATTGGGCCTACATTTTCTTCTATTACATGCAGAGTTTCTGGTATAATTCCTATGTGTTTGATCCATCTAGGAATTTTGTTTTGTGCAGGGAGAAGGGTAGGTGTTGAATTTCATTTTGCTGCCTGTAGTTTCCTTTATTCACAGCACCATTTGTTGGAAAATAACTAATTTTTTCTCTAATGTATGTTTTTGACTCCTTTGTTCAGTAAGAGAGAACTTTATTTTTGTGGGCTTGTCTTTGTGTCTTCTATTCTGTTCCATTGGTCTTCTTGTCTGTTTTGGTGCCAGAACCATGCTGTTTTTGATACTGTAGCTCTGTAGTATATTTTAAGGGCTGGGATTGTGATGCATCTGCTTCACTTTCCTGGCTAAGGATTGTTTTAGCTATTCTGGCCTCTGTCCAGATTTATTTCATGATTGCCTTTTTTTATTTCTAGGAAGAAGATAATTGGAATTTTGATGGGAATTGCATTGAAACTGTATAGCAGTTTTGGTAGTAAGGCCATTTTGACAATATTAATTCTGCCTGTCTAAGCACGTGGGAGGTCTTTCCATTTTCTGAGGTCATCTTCAACTTCTTTATTTAGTGTTTTGTAATTTTCATAGAATTTACCTCTTTTATTAGATTGATCCCTTTTTTGAGGCCATTGTGAATGTGATTATGTTCCTAATTTTTCTTTCAGCTGATTCATCATTGGTGTATAGATACACAATTGATTTATGGATGTTAATTTCACATCCTACTTTCCTGAATACATTTGAATTCTGGAAGTTTTCTGGTGGAGTTTTTTGTGTCTTTTAAACATAGAGTCATGTCCTTGGCAAACAGAGATAGTTTGAGCTGTTCTTTTCCTTCCTATTCGTATCCCTTTAATTTCCTTTTTTTCAGCCTAATTGCTCTGGCTAGAGTTTTAAGGACTATGTTGAATAGAAATAGTGAAATTGGCCATCCCTGTCTCATTCTTGCTTTTAGAGTTCCCTCTAAAAACTTTCAGTTTTTCTCTGTTTAGAATTATGTTGGGGGCTGGGGATGTGGCTCAAGCGGTAGTGCGCTCGCCTGGCATGCGTGCAGCCCGGGTTCGATCCTCAGCACCACATACAAACAAAGATGTTGTGTCCGCCCAGAACTAAAAAATAAATATTAAAAAAATTCTCTCTCTCTCTCTCTCCCTCCCTCTCTCTCTCTCTTTAAAAAAAAAAAAAAAGAATT